CCCCAAAACCCCAAAACCCCAAAACCCCTTGAGGTGTATTCGTTAAAGCAATAGTGATAATAGATTTTAATTTAAATTCAAATATGAATAGTAACTTAACATTTATTGCCAAGATAGGATGTCCTCCGCCACCTGCAACCAGTACAAATAGCTTTACTAAGCAAAGACCTAGTCTCTCCTCATCATTTACTAATAATTTCAAAATCGATCAGCAGAAAAAGGAAATACAATGGCAAGCTTCTATCAATAAATAAACCTAGGATTGGCATGTGAAATTTGATTAAATCTATAAATACTACACTGACGATGAGCAAAAGCATAAAAAATGTATCAAAACTATGTTCAAGCAGATCATTTTACCTAGGCTCATACAAACTCCCTAGTTTACAATAGTCATTCCAGCAGGTGAAACAAGTTAGAATTTAGATAAGAACAATAAAAAATTGAGTTTAGTGTATTACACAATAAAAGATCTGCTAGAGATGCATTAAGATAGTTAAAATATCGGTAACATTGATAGAGTTCCTGGAAATTAGGCTAATCTAGAGGTAATTTATTGTATTTAATATCTATAGATCCATGAAATTACAGAGAGTTACATTGATATCGTGGCAAAATTAGATGTCTAGAATGTTGATTAGGCATTATAATTACTCTAGCATCACAGTTAAAATCGTAAAAATAGTTGCATAAAAATGAACATCAAGGTCAAGAATTCGTAAGATTTTATCGTCAACAAATTAAAATTAATCTTTTAATTTTAGGAATGTTAGCATCATTTTTCAAAACAAACTATCTGCGACTGGACTGGTAAGACTTCTAGATTAGATTTAGTCTTAGCAAATCTACTTCCTTATGAGCATTATAGAAAGTAACTAGAATAGTTACTCCATTGAAATTTTGAATAACATGAGACTCATTTAACAGCAATTAAAAAACTAGGCTAAAAAGCAGAAAGAAAATTAAAATCCAGATGTAATATCTTGCCTGCAATCCTAAATCGAAGATCTTAAGAGTCAACTCAGCTCTCAAAACACATTAATTAATAAGCTATGTCTTTAATAGCTAGAGTAGTAGCTTAACAATAAACTGAGAGGATCTCATAATAATTTAAGTCGTTAAAGTTTTCAGAATAGAAGTTAGAAGAATCATTCGAAATGAGGATCAGGAGATTATGATCAAGTTATCATTGAAGAAGACTAGGAGGCAGAAGAAGGTAATAATAATGAATCAAAATTTAATGGTGAGTTATCCATAGTTGCAGCAGCTAACAACTAGGGCGAGGCAAATATCGACTAATCAACTAATATGATAGAAGATCTTTCTCTGCTAAGAAAATTATCATTGGAAATCAACAGAAACTATGAAAAGTTTGCTGGCATCAGAAAGAGTCTCAATATTTTCAACAATGGAACTTCAACTAATGCAACACCAAGCACGAAGAAGGGTTTAGTAAGTACATCAAATCTTGAGAATGCCATTCGATAATCAATATTGAACAATTAGAATGGAATAGAAAACGTTAATCAAAGCAATATTGCTGTAGAAATTGAAAAATAGTTCAAGGCTTTGCTTGATTAGAAAATGGCCTAAAGCACAAGAGATAAATAAATCATTGAAGATGCACTTATTAGATAGCATTAAAGCACATCTAAAAATAGAGCTAAAGAATTCTCATCCCCAATTAATAATAACAATAATATAAAGACTTTGACAGGTAGAAACCAAGAAATAGAAAAAATACTCTCAGGAATGAGAGTGCCTGCTGATATTGCTTTGAAATCCCAATCAAACAAGATGGAAACTAAGAGTGATGAAAAAGAGGACTCTTTTGATATCGGAGAAGAATCAGTTGCAAATGAAACAGATTTTAATCAGAGAATTAGAAAGGTTCAACCGCTAGCAGCTAGGAATGTACCCAAAGGTAAGGAATCCCAGAAATTTATGGATAATCTCAACTCTACTTAAGCTGCAAAAAATAACTTAGATAAAATTCAAGCAGGAATACTGCCTCCAAAGAATGTCCAGAAGTTAATGAAGCACTATAATACAGATGCTCCTTAAGGAACTAGCTTTGAAAATCAAAGATCAGCTACAAGATAGCAACACCCCTAACTTTCAGCCAAGAGATCTGAAAGCAAGGGAAATAATAGAGGAAATCAAAGTGCTACTCATAACTCTCACACAGCGAGTTATAATAATCCTTAATTTTATTCAGCAACAACTTTACTCGCATAAAACTAAAAAGCAATACTTAAGACAAGACCTAGAAGCAAGAATAGTAATTAGCTGGTGAATTAATCAAACAGCCAATCTTAGTCTAATTTCAAAATTGGAAGTGTAGCAAACTTATCGCTTACCATAAAACCTAATGTTTCCTCTAACTTTTTGGGATCTACTTCAAAATTTACTACAATTGATCTAAACAAGATAAGTAAATATGGAGCAAAAGCTAAACTTAATTAGTCTCACCAGTTGCAATACCTTAATTAAACTGCATAACCTATTAGTTGCATATAAAGCAATAATCAACCGAATAAAACTAACTCAGTCAACTAAAACTTCGATAGGACGAAAAGCTCGACAAGTAAATAAGGAAGGCAAAAGTTAGCAGATAGGAATCATATTAGTACAGTTTATGAAGAAGAATCAGGAATGGAGCCAGAATATGGTTCTAGAAGTCCCAGCATCAAAGACGAAAGAGGTAGTATTTTACCTTTAGAGAAGCCAAAAGGACTTCAGATAGGATCATAAGACCATCATTAGCCTTACTTTAAAATTTAATCAAACGAATCCTCTAATAGAAATTCGCTTGTTAGCAGAATAGCTAATCTTTCTACGGCTAATTTCATAAAGACTAATGATATATTAGTTGATGATGATAATGGCTAGAATTTTATAGCCTAGAATTAGAATTAGATGGTCCCATAGCCTCGAGAAAGTATTAATAAGAAGAATAAATTAGTCCTTAAGCAGGTGCGTGAGGGCTCTTAAAACAGGCCAAACTCCACATAATAGAATTATAGTTCACTTGATTCTAGTAATCTTTATAATATGATTTCATCTCAACATCATCCTCAAAAATAAAACATGCGCACTCTGGATGCAAATGAAAAGGCCATGATTGCTAAGTTTTATCATAATCAACCACCCAAATAAAACTTCGATGATCATCTATAAAGTTTCGAGAATAAAAACTCTCTAAACATAGATAGTCGTATTCTATAGTCATCTTAATCTAAGAGATTGACTGATCTTAAAGAAGCCAGAATTAAGAATAGATCTGAGTCTAGATAAAAAATAAATAACAGTCATCATAACAACACCAGTAATCATAATAATCATCATAGTAATAGAGTTCTAAGTGGAAATTTGTCATAAAATTTATATTCTTCTCTTAATAAGAGTGGGCAGTATACTAGTGGAGGTCATCACATAATAAACCCTCAGAATACAATCAATAATTCCTCAAACTTAGATGAAACTATCCAAGTAGTAAAAGATATTCTTCAGATAAAACGAAACTAGTCTTAGACTAATGTATCTCTCTTGCTGAGCAATTAGAATGGAAACGCATCACAAGGTGGTCTAAATGCAAGTATGCTATTCGATAAATAGAATCACACCCCAAATGCTCTTAATGATAGTATCACAAATTCATCAATAGCCATATAAACATAAAAGAAGCCTCCGGTAAGACACTATAAGAACTTCATCAGCCATGTAAATTAAAGTGTAGAAATGAACAATGATCTAAAAAGTAGTATTCTTTCATAGGGCAAAGAAAATCTAGACGAGTTTTTCATTATGTATGAAACTTTTAAGCAAACTAACGGTACATAACTACAATACATAACTAGTAATGGGAATCTTAGTGGCTAAGGCAACATTAGTGGACAAGCAATTTTGAGTCAGCAGTGTTCCGTCAATAAAAAGAAGACAAACATGATATTTTCTCCAGAATCTAAAAAAATAAGCCTATTCAATCCATTATAAGTTAGTAATGGCAGCATTGGAAATACCTCTGGCCATAACTCAAGATTGTTTCTAAATCATTAAAGCTAGAATTTACTCTAAAATCATTAAAATCAAGTTCCTGTATAGAATATGAATCAGAGTTAGCATACCTTTTAGCAAAATCAGAATAATTCACAGCAAAACTAGTAACAATACCGCACAAGATCAACTAGTGAGTATGTAAATATTGGAATGAATAATAATCAACAAAGGCCTGTTCTGATAAATAGAAGCAACTTTTAATAACTACAAAGAGAGTTGTGAAAATACAAGAATTAATTCCTCTAATTATTGAAATTTATCAATGAATTATTTAGTAATTAGATATTGCCTGATTAATTCTACTTATCTTAATTTCTTGATTTATTAAATTTAAATTATCCATCAATTCATTAATATACTTGGACAGATAATTTAATCTCAATTATAATCTAATAAAAATGTCTTATAAAGATAGCATCTAACTATTTAGAAATGTTTCCCTAACATTCCCCACCTTCAACCTATTACACTTGAGATTGAGTTTACCATATTTTGGAGAATTCATTCTTTAGCATTAATTGTTAAAAACCTTTGTCTACTTTGGAATGGCATCAGCCTCCTTCTGCTTGATAAAATTAATGGCAAGTGGAGTTTAATCTGTGGGATTGTATCTCAAAACATTTTTTAATGCGAAGAAGTATACTAGTAGTTAGATGGAGTTTAGCATTGGCTCTATGAATCAATCTAAATACTATGCAGTTATCTATGGGACATCTAACAGGGCAGGAAGATCTTTTGCAAAATATTTGGCAGGAAAGGGCTTTAATTTGATTTTGATAGACAGAGATATTGAAGTGTTGATGAACTTTGAGAAAGAGCTAAAATCAGAATTTGAGGAAAGAAAGATTTAGATATGCTCAATTGAATTGAATAAATTTGATGTTGACTAATTAAGGGCAAAGTTACTTCCATTGAAAGATCTACCAGTTAAACTCTTTGTAAACTGTAAAAACACAAAGAAGAACGCTGTCAAACACCAAGAGAGAGATAATGATCCATTAGCAATAAACTCAGGTAATGTCAATTAATCTCTAATGGAGGTTTAAACAGGCGAGGAGCTAATCAGCAAGGAGGAAGTCTACTTCTCCACTAGAGAGAATATAGACGGCTATTCAGCACTAGCATCTGTATTCTTATATTAAATGAGAAGAGACTCGGTTAATCCAGCAGTTATCAATGTAGACAGTGATGAGAAAATCAATTTAAGCAAACTAAAGAGGGGTTAATTATTATTCCTTTCGACTCTGCAATACCAAGACACCTTTACCACTCTCTTATCCCGATAATACAAAGATGTTGCAACTATTAACGTTAAAGTAAACTTTTAATCTCTCAAGGATAATTTAACAAAGCAAAAATAAATGTGCGATTAGACCTTTTAATATCTAGGGGTTTTAGACACCATCAGTGTTTAATGAGTGATCGATATGTTTATTGTTTTATTTATATTAAAATAAGCAGAGTTTACAGTAATTTTGATCAATCTAATGCAAGGGGGGTTTTGGGGTTTTGGGG